CAAATGTGGCCTGGAGAGAGTTTTGAGGGCCACAGAGAGAGACCCGGGGGCCACATTGAACCGTCTGCATCTGCGGTTCCGCACCTGGCTTCAATCACAGACATTTTTTTGGGAAGCGATTAAGGTTTCCCTCAACGAGACTCTTAGTAGCACTTGTGGAGAGGCAGGTGTGTGTTACAGCAGAAATTTGGTGAACGGTGAAATTTACGGCTGAGCGTTGCAGTTCTAAAGACTCGGACGGACATGGCAGAAAAGCCAGATTTTTCACCGGTAGTTCGGCGGGAGGAATTCCCTGTTGCAATAAAAGAGGGTGTTCCACCACCGCAAGTGTTTCGGATTTCCAGGCAGAAGGACCTCTCTCTCCTCCCCTTCTAGGGTTCCACTGCCCCCCAAGCCGATTTTGGGGGTGCAGGAGGGAAAGCCCCATTGCTCAAGCAGAAGAGCTTGCACAGGGCTTCCTCTGACGAAACTTGTTAGTTTAGTGTGCAATTGCCCCAAGTTAACTCTCCATGTGCTTGATGCGTCTAGCAAGTGCATTTAGGATTCCAAGAGAATTCAGGATTCCAAGAGATTTTCGGGTTCCAACCAAAATGTGTTCGAGCATCGTCTTCAGTTCTGTCGTTTGCTGATAGGTGTACATTTCCCATGCAAAAAGTCAGAAACAAATCTCTTGACCCAAGCATTTGTTATCTGGATGCGTACATACAATTTCTCCTGGAAAAGCAGTATATCGTTCCGTCGTTCATTCATTTAACTCGAGCCGTATCGGTCCAAGCGCCGTGCCCAGAATTCCTCTCGTCTCTCAGAACTTATTTCAGTTTCCAGCTCCGTGTGACCACCAACTTTGTGCCGTCATCTTCACACCTTTTGTATCTTTAATCTTAACCTCGCTTTTCAAAAAATCCTCATAATGGTAATCATTGGTTCCGTAGTGAAGATTAAGCTTTAATTTCCTCGATAATTGCAAGCATCCATCTGTCTATCTATCTATCTATCTATCTAATCATAGAATCGTAGAATTGAAAAGGGACCCATGAGGGTCATCTAGTCCAACCCCCTGCAGTGCCCAACGTTGGGATCAAACCCACGACCCTGAGATCAAGCGTCTCATGCTCCACCAACTGAGCCATCCCTGGGGCTCTATCTATCTTTATATCATCTCCAGGATTTATCTGAATATGTGACATGCCCCTTTTGCAATACCTGAACAGTTAAATAGCCCTGGGTGCAAGTCTCATTGTGCTCGGTAGAACTTACTGCTCAGTGGACATGCCTAGGTTAGAAGCATAGCAAGCTGCCTTGTGCAGGGACAGTCCATTTATCTCAGTATTGTCGGCACTGACTGGCAGCAGCCAAGGTTTCAGGTCACCCTCACCTGGAAATGCCAGGGAACGAACCTGGGAACTTTTGCATGCAATGCAGGCGTCCTACGACTGATCTAATGGCCCTCCCCCAATTGGGAGTGGATTTAGGACTGGGATGCGGGTGGCGCTGTGGGTTAAACCACAGAGCCTAGGGCTTGCCGATCGGAAGGTCGGCGGTTCGAATCCCCGCGACGATGTGAGCTCCCGTTGCTCAGTCCCTGCTCCTGCCAACCTAGCAGTTCGAAAGCACATCAGTGCAAGTAGATAAATAGGTACCACTCTGGTGGGAAGGTAAATGGCGTTTCTGTGCGCTGCTCTGGTTCGCCAGAAGTGGCTTAGTCCTGCTGGCCACATGACCCGGAAGCTGTACGCCGGCTCCCTCGGCCAGTAAGGCGAGATGAGCGCCGCAACCCCAGAGTCGGCCACGACTGGACCTAATGGTCAGGGGTCCCTTTACCTTTACCTTTTAGGACTGGGTGAGCAGAGCACATGCTCTGGATTTGGAAAGGAGGTAGGAGGGCTCTAGGACCCTGCGAGAAATCTCACGCCTCCTTCCCAGGGCGCCATAGGGTCCCAGTCTGCCACTGCCCCAATGAGGCGGGAAGGAGAAGGATATATCAATGTATTTATTTTTTATATATTTCATCTAGAGTGGCTGGGAGCTGGGGGCACTGTTATGCAGTGGTTTTGCTCCTTCCTCCTGGGCTGTGTTCAGAAAGTGGTGGTGGGGGATGAGTGTTCAGACCCCTGGGCTCTCACTTGTGGGGTGCCTCAGGGTTCTGTCCTCTCCCCCATGCTTTTCAACATCTACATGCAGCCGCTGGGAGAGATCATCAGGGGGTTTGGGCTGGGTTTCATCAGTATGCAGATGATACCCAGCTCTACCTCTCTTTCAAATTGGAACCAGTGAAGGCAGTGAAGATCCTGTGTGAGTGTCTGGAGGAGGTTGGAGGATGGATAGCAGCTTGAGGTTGAATCCTGACAAGACAGAAGTACTGTTTTTGAGGGACGGGGACGGGCAGGTGTGGGGGATTCCCTGGTCTTGAATGGGGTAACTGTGCCCCTGAAGGACCAGGTGCGCAGCCTGGGAGTCATTTTGGACTCACAGCTGTCCATGGAGGCACAGTTTGATTCTGTGTCCAAGGCAGCTGTTTACCAGCTCCACCTGGTACGCAGGCTGAGATCCTACCTGTCCGCGGACTGTCTCGCCAGAGTAGTGCATCCTCTAGTTATCTCCCGCTTGGACTACTGCAATGCATTCGGGGATTCAAACCCTGGTCTCCCAGGTCCCGGTCCAGCACTCTTAACTATGCCAAGTAGAGACGGCTTGAGGAAGTGGATCTGCCTTAAAAGTTACTTTGGAAGAGTTGGGAGGGAAGGAATCGCGCCAGCTTCAAGAGGCAGCGAGTTCCAAAGGTGCGTCGCCGGCACCAGAGGTGGGCGGAAGTCCCTGGGCATGCCAGAAACAGCTCTTTGGATCCCAGCCGTAATTCGGAGCTCTGATCAAAGAGCCTTCCTGGCAGCGTGGTCACTTTAATGAGGTCTCTGGCTGGTGATGGAAGCTGGACTTTTGCCACCAAGACAGCCCCCGTCTGGCCCACCAGATCATGCCAGCTTCCCTCCCGGTGTCCTTTAAAAGTGTAGGTTCAGCGACCTTGGCCGGAGTCCAGAGAGGAGTCTGCAAGCATGCCAGGACTTCTCAAGCCTCTTGTTTCTGAATGCTGGAAAACTTTCCAGAGTGGCACTGGACCATCGCAGTCTTTAATCAGGGTTCCTTGTGCATCGCAGTGCCCGGTGCGTTGGCAGAACGGCGGCTGTGCAAAGGTTGGGGGATGAACAGCTGGCACATGTGTACGTAAGACTCAAACTCTGGACGTCCAGTGGCCCTGAATGGTTAAATCTTCAGGACAGATAGAAGGAAGTCCTTTTTCATGCAACACATTTTTAAACAGTGGAACTCTCTCCCACTGAAGACCTTGATGGGTGTCAGGGACTGGTTGGATGCAGAGGAAAGATGGGGAGGAACCAGCTTGGGAACCCTAAGGGATGAAGGCTCAGAGCCCAGGGATGACAGGAGCTCGTCCTACCCTCGAGTAGGACCCCGACAGAGACATATGCCCGACTGGCATGTTCTCTCACTCCTGCTCAATCGTTCGGGAGCTTCAAAAGCTTCCTTCAGCCCGAACATCACAGCGACCGATGCCAACAGACATCGGCACACTTAGGGATCCGCAGAGTCTTCGCAGCTTGTGCGACAGACCTCAGCAACTCAGCATTTTGGCTAATCTACTTTATTTACATATAAACACACACGGAGCACTGCAACATGGATCCCTCTCTCTCTAGCACCAGACAGCAAAGAGAAAGAACAAAAGACAATAGTCCCACTTCACGGAACACAGTAACACAAACATCCTGTCTCCGTCACTTCCCACTCTGTGGAGTCAAAACATACACCGTCATGTGATAGACAACAATCCCATGACTGAAATCACAGAGCAGGAATTCTAACAAGGGAGTGGTGGTGGGATGATGGTGAGCGGTCCAAGGGAAAAAAGGGAGCAGGCTGAGAAGGGGTGTCAGAAGCTGGAGAGGTAACAGGCCTTAGGGAGGAGGGGGAGTCTGTGGCAGAGAGAAGCCTAGAATCGGAGGCAGAAGATAAAGCAGGGGAGGAGGGAGGCCGAGAGGCAGAGATGAGTTGGGCTGGTGAAGAGTCACGGGGTTCTGCCCCTCCTGCAGCGACATGAAAAGGGTGGAGGAGAGGTTGGCCGCCTGCAGGAGCAGTCTCCGATTGCTTAGAGGGAACCCTAGAGTGGAGGAGATGTAGGTGACTGTGGAGAGGTGGGAATTTCCGAGCACAATTCAAAGTGTTGGTGCTGACCTTTAAAGCCCTAAATGGCCTTGGCCCAGTAGACCTGAAGGAGCATCTCCACCCCCATCGTTCAGCCTGGACACTGAGGTCCAGCTCTGTGAGCCTTTTGGCGGTTCCCTCCCTGCGAGAAGTGAGGTTACAGGGAACCAGGCAGAGGGCCTTTTCGGTGGGGGCACCCACCCTGTGGAACATCCTCTCATCAGATATCAAGGAAATAAACAACTATCTGACTTTTAGAAGACACCTGAAGGGAAGTTTTATTCATAGCTGTCAACGTTTCCCGTTTTTTAAAAGGAAATTCCCTTATCCGAATAGGATTCCTCGCAAGAAAAGGGAAAAGTTGACATCTAATTTTTTATTATGTTTTTAATATTCTGTTGGGCGCCACCCAGAGTGGCTGGGGCATAAATATTAATTAATTAATTAATTAATTATTGAAGAAGTGTTGGAATCTGGAAAGGAAACAGGGTTTAGTGAGCAGGGAGAATCTGTGGCAGAGAGAAGTCCAGAATCGGAGGCAGAAGATGAATCGGGAGGAGGGAGGCCGAGAGGCAGAGATGAGCCCAGACCCATTCCTGCGCGCATTAGGCCTTGCACTTCCGTTCAGACCCGTTTTTGCTAATAGCGAGCTAGCTCCAACTCCTTCAGTGTGATCTGCTGCTGACTCGCTCTTGCAAATGGGCCCCCTTTGGCCTGATCCTGGCCTCTTTCTCGCGTCCCTGCGCCTTCTTCCCTCCTCACCTTCTTCCCCTGTGCCCCTGCAGCCTGCTGGAAACCATGTTTCACTACACCGACGAGCCCCGGTTCACCATAGAGCAGATCGACTTGCTTCAGCGCTTGCGGCGCACCGGGATGACGCGGCACGAGATCCTGCACGCCCTGGAGACCTTCGACCGCCTCGACCAGGAGCACAGCGACAAGTTCGGCCGGCGGTCGGCCTATGGGGCTGGCGGCGGCTCCTGCAGCAACAGCACCAACAACGTGGCCGCCTCGTCCTCCACCGCCACAGCCTCCACGCAGACGCACCACTCGGGGATGTCCCCTTCGCCCAGCAACAGCTACGACACCTCCCCGCAGCCCTGCACCACCAACCAGAACGGCCGGGAGAGCAGCGAGCGGCTCTCCGCCTTCAACGGGAAGATGTCGCCCACTCGGTACCCGCTGGCCAGCAGCATGGCGCAGAGGTCGTACAGCTTCGAGGCCTCCGAAGAAGACCTGGACGTGGACGACAAGGTGGAGGAGCTGATGAGGTGAGCTCTTGGGGCTCGGGGTGGGGCGCGCTCCTGTTGGTGGGCTCGCCGTTAGCACCGCATCACTTAATTCTGGCCTCCCTCTCCTCAACCCTCCTCAACCGCATGCAAGGCGGTTTGACGAAAATCAGAGAAAGCACAGAATTTCTCTGTGGGACCCCCAGATGCCATCTAGACCAACCCCTGCAATTCAGGGATCTCAAGTGTAGCATCCACGACGAGGGGGCGTCCGACCTCTCCTCGAAAGCTTTCAAGGAAGGTCTACCTTTTCCTGAGGAGACCGTTCCACGGTCAAGGAGCTCTTACCGACAGAAAGTTCCTCCTAATGTGTGTGGATTGGAAATTAGGGTACAATTAGAATAGAGGGGGATATCTCTCTCTGTGTGTTTTATTATTTATGTTGTATTTTTCCTCTCTTTTCTTTCTTCCTTTGCCTTCCTCCCTTTCCTTTTGTTGTTTCTCTTTCTTTCTTTCTTTCTAATTTCATTTATTCTAGATAGAATTTTATTGTACAGTAGTATCTCGGGTTACAGATGCTTCAGGTTACATACGCTTCAGGTTACAAACTCCACTAACCCAGAAATAGTACCTCGGGTTAAGAACTTTGCTTCAGGATGGGAATAGAAATTGTGCTGCGGCAGCAGCAGGAGGCCCCATTAGCTAAAGTGGTGCTTCAGGTTAAGAACAGTCTCAGGTTAAGTATGGACCTCTGGAACGAATTAAGTACTTAACCCGAGGTACCACTGTATTGTGAAAACTTTAATGAAAATTTCCTGGAGAAAGTTCCTGCTACTGTTTAGCGGCTGCTCCCAGAGAGAGAGAGAGAGAGAGAGAGAGAGAGAGATGGATAGATAGATAGATAGATAGATAGATAGATAGATAGATAGATATGTTGCGGATGCTTTAGTCGAGATCCCTGCATTGCAGGGGGTTGGACTAGATGACCCTCAGGGTCCCCTCCAGCCCTGCAATCCTATGAATCAGTGTTTTAATTCTGTTAGTGTATAATTCTTGGGTTTTTTCAAATAATTGTCACCATTCACTGTTTTCAGATGTTCTTATTTTACCTTCAAACTGCCTTGAGTCACTGTCAGGGAGAAAGGTGGTTATAAATTATAATTATAATAATAGTCAGAATTTCATGTGGCCCAAGCAGGCCTTAGATCGGGGGGGACGGAGACCCCAAGGGCCGTTTCCCCATCTGGCCCGCCTTCCAAGGGCCACAAGACAGTGGTGGGCGGGGCCAGAGGGAAAAGTGGGTGGAGCAAGGAGCATAAATTCGTCATGAGGACATGTTCCTGCCGGGCAAAAGCATTTGGGGTGGGGTGGGGGGTCGTGGGCAGAGCCCTGAGGCCAGACGGCGAGGCCTGGAGGGGCCTAATTTGTCTACACAGGCTGGCAGCAGCTCTCTCGGGATTTCAGACTGGCCTCTTTGCCAACCCACCCCGAAGATGCATTTGAACCCACGGCCTTTGATATGCAGAACATGTTCTCTGTCCCCGAGTAACGGCTAAGTAATGCGCCCCCATGTGCAACACCCTAGTTTGATGCCAGCGTTGCCACCGATGGGAGAGATTTATTCATCCCTCCGTAATGAAACTTTGCGCATCCCATATGGCTTGCATGAATTTATACGGACCGCGAGTCATCCGTTCTCCTCCTCGTGCGCTTTGATCAGCCGGCGACACGGATTAAAAGCAACGTCCGACGGCGAGGGCCATCCGTCAGGCCCTTCGCTCCCTCTGCCGCCCCCACCCCCAATTAAACGCGTCTTCAACTCTGGCCCTCTTTCTTGCCCCCCTCTTTTTAACCTTCTTCTTCTTCTTCGTCTCCCCTCCCCTCCACCCTCCAACCCCCCGCAAAAAACTCCCCCTGTTTTGTTAGGAGGGACAGCAGCGTGATAAAAGAGGAAATCAAAGCCTTCCTGGCCAACCGGAGGATTTCGCAAGCCGTCGTAGCGCAGGTAACAGGTAAGAGCTCAGAAACACCTCGCCTGGACCCCCTCTCCGTAGCTCAGCACCGCCGTCTCGCCGCGCCTTCTCCTGCCGGCGCAGATGTTGGGATATCGCTTGGCTTTCTGCATTGCGGTGCAAATCTGTCAGCTTAGTCATGATAATGTATGCCTTTGATTTAAGACCCATTGTGGAACTTCCCTGGTGAATCAGTCTCTCTCTCTCTCTCTCTGCACCTCCCTTGCCCTGCCTGATCTTCTCTCCCCCTGTTCCTTACGCGGCGGCTTACGTCAGCAGGATATCTCCCTGCTTTTCTTAGGAATGCTGTAACTAGCGTCAAGCTAGTGCCGAAATGGCTTTGTTTTTAAATTGTGAACATCATCCACAGCCCTTCCGTTGAGAGCGGGAAGGTGAGGTTCTGGCCCTTTTAGGGTTCGGAATAGGCCATACGGGACGTGGGTGGTGCTGTGGGTTAAACCACAGAGCCAAGGACTTGCCGATCAGAAGGTCAGCAGTTCGAATCCCCGCGACAGGGTGAGCTCCCGTTGTTCGGTCCCAGCTGCTGCCAACCTAGCACGTCAAAGTGCAAGTAGATAAATAGGTACTGCTCTGGTGGGAATGTAAACGGCATTTCCATGCGCTGCTCTGGTTCGCCAGAAGCGGCTTAGTCATGCTGGCCACATGACCTGGAAGCTGTATGCCGGCTCCCTCGGCCAATAAAGCGAGATGAGCGCCGCAACCCCAGAGTTGGTCACGACTGGACCTAATGGTCAGGGGTCCCTTTACCTTTACCTAATAGGCCATCCAGGCCTTGTGGGGTGCTTGGCTGGAAAGGCTTTTGTTTAATTGCATCCATGTTGTTTCATTAGCCCAATAACCCAACCTGCCTACTTAAGCCAAGCGAGGGGTAAACACTTAAGGCTGCCTCCTCCCGTCGCTTTGTCTTCCTTTCTGCGTTTCTCAACCTGCGGGTCCCCAGATGTTGTTGGACTACAATTCCCATCATCCCTAGCTAGCAAGGCCAGAGCTCAGGGGTGATGGGAGTTGTAGTCCAACAACATCTGGGGACCCGCAGGTTGAGAACCGCAGTGCTAGATGCTAAAGAGAGTGAATGGCTCAGTCAGGAGAGCATAAGGCTCTTAGAATCGTAGAGTCGGAAGGGACCTCCAGGGGTCATCTAGTCCAACCCCCTGCAATGCAGGAATCTCAGCTAAAGCGTCCGTGACAGACGGCCACCCAACCTCTGCTTGAAAACCTCCAAGGAAGGAGAGCCCACAATCTCCCAAGGGAGACCGTTCCCTGTCAAACAGTTCTTACTGCCAGAAAGTTTTTCCAGGTATTGAGTCGCAATCCCCTTTCTCGTAACTTGAAGCCATGGGTTCGAGTTCTGTCTTCTGTAGCAGGGGAAAAAAAACAACCTTGCTCCATCTTTCATGTGACAGCCCTTGAGATACTTGAAGATGGTTATCACATCTCCTCTCAGTCCCCTCTTTTGCAGGCTCAACGTACCCAGCTCCTTCAACCGTTCCTCAAAAGGCTTGGTTTCCAGACCCCTTGATCATCTTGGTCTCCCTCCTCTGTCCACGTTCCAGCTTGTCAACATCCTTCTTAAAAGGTGGCACCCAGAACGGGACACCATATTCCAGGTGTGGTCTGACCAACGCAGAATAGTGGTACAGTGGTACCTTGGGTTACATACGCTTCAGGTTACAGACTCCGCTAACCCAGAAATAGTACCTCGGGTTAAGAACTTTGCTTCAGGATGAGAACAGAAATCGTACTCCGGCAGTGTGGTGGCAGCAGGAAGCCCCGTTAGCTAAAGTGGTTCTTCAGGTTAAGAACAGATTCAGGTTAAGAACGGACCTCCAGAACCAATTAAGTACCGTATTTTTCGCTCTATAAGACGCACCAGACCACAAGACGCACCTAGTTTTTGGAGGAGGAAAACAAGAAAAAAAATATTCTGAATCTCAGAAGCCAGAACAGCAAGAGGGATCGCTGCGCAGTGAAAGCAGCAATCCCTCTTGCTGTTCTGGCTTCTGGGATAGCTGCACAGCCTGCATTCGCTCCATAAGACACACACACATTTCCCCTTACTTTTTAGGAGGGGAAAAGTGAGTCTTATAGAGCAAAAAATACGGTACTTAACCCGAGGTACCACTGTACTATGACTTCCCTTGATCTGAACACTCAGCGTCTGCTGATGCAGCCGGGAATAGATTCCTCGGTTTCTTCAGCATCCTGCCTCATCTCTGTCTTCCGGCCTCCCTCCTGCGTCTGATTCAGGACCGCTCACTAAACCCTGTTGCCCCTTCGGCTCCCGACACCTCCCAGTCTTCTCCCTCTTCCTCCCTTTGCCCAACCATCATCACCCCCTGGCTCTGAGCCTTCTTCTCCTGGGGATTCCCTTGGGGGTTCCCCACCTGGAGCCTCTCACTGCTCCTCAGCATCTAGCCGGCCCATGACATTCTGCATGTTTACTCTTGAGCTTAAGGACCGCTGAGTACAGCAGGGCTTGCTCCCAGTTAACTGGGAGCATAAGCTGCATAGAATTTCCCCCCGCTGGCCTTGGCTTTAAGGGGGGAATTTGTTTAGGCCTTGTTTAAAGGTAAAGGGACCCCTGACCATTACGTCCAGTTGTGGCCAACTCTGGGGTTGCGGCGCTCATCCCGCTTTATTGGCTGAGGGAGCCGGCGTACAGCTTCCGGGTCATGTGGCCAGCATGACTAAGCCGCTTCTGGCGAACAAGAGCAGCGCACGGAAACGCCATTTACCTTCCCGCCAGAGTGGTACCTATTTATCTACTTGCACTTTGATGTGCTTTGGCAGGAGCAGGGACCGAGCAACGGGAGCTCACCAAACCGGTGTCCTTCTGATTAGCAAGTCCTAGGCTCTGTGGTTTAACCCACATCACCACCCGCGTCCCTTAGGCCTTGTTTAGGGAAGTTTTTAATGTTTAATGCTGTACAGTGGTACTTCGTGTTAAGAACTTAATTCATTCCGGAGGTCCGTTCTTAACCTGAAGCACCACTTCAGCTAATGGGGCCTCCTTCTGCTGCCGTGCCGCCAGAGCACGATTTCTGTTCTCATCCTGAAGCAAAGTTCTTAACCTGAGGTATTATTTCTGGGTTAGCGGAGTCTGTAACCTGTAGCGTACGTAACCTGAGGTACCACTGTATTGTGTTTTTAATATTTGATTGGGAGCCGCCCAGAGTGGCTGGGGAAACCCAGCCAGATGGGCTGGGTATAAATATAATAATAATAATAATAATAATAATAATAATAATAATAATAATAATAATAATAATAATAATTTATTATTTATACCCCGCCCATCTGGCTGGGTTTCCCCAGCCACTCTGGGCGGCTTCCAACTGAATATTAAAAACAGTACAGCATCAAACATTAAAAACTTCCCTAAAGAGGGCTGCCTTCAGATGACTTTTAAAAGTAAAATAGTTGTTTATTGCTTTGACATCTGCTGGGAGGGCGTTCCACAGGGCAGGAGCCACTACCGAGAAGGCCCTCTGCCTGGTTCCCTGTAACCTTACTTCTCGCAATGAGGGAACCGCCAGAAGGCCCTCAGCGCTGGATCTCAGTGTCCGGGCTGAACGATGGGGGTGGAGACAGTTTAAATAATAACGATGGGGGTGGAGACAGTTTAAATAATAAACTGTTGCTGTTGTTATTATGATTATTGGCTAATACGGGAGGCCTGCTGCACCTGGGAGCCGACTGCAATGACGACAGCGTAGAAGGGCAAGTTATAAATCTAAATAACAAATAGATGCAAAGACTAAATTAAATAGATGGATCATATCTCTTGCATCGTGTGGTGGCAGACCCCGGAGCGCTCACTGCAGAAGTGTGTTGCGTTCCTGCGTAAGGACAATAGCTTTGCTTCGAATCTTGACAGCCGGGCCTTTCCGGCTTAAGCGAAGGGCTTTGTGAGCCCCCTCCCCTTAATTTGCCATTTCAGCGCAGGCTGTTTCCGAGCATAATTCCCCTCTCTTCTTCTTCTGAATAAGCAGCAGTGAGCTTCTGGTTTATTGTTGTTAACTCCTCTGACCCAGGCAGGCATTGGACAAAGCAGCAGGCAGCGTGCTCTGGAAATGTGAGGCTTAAATCAGGGGCACAGAACCGTTATCGTACATTTGCTCGTGTGAAAGCTTCCAGGGCCCGTGGGATGAGAAATGGGGTGGAGTAACAGTTGAAACTTTCTATTACAGTGGTACCTCAGGTTACAGACCCTTCAGGTTACAGGCTCCGCTAACCCAGAGATAGTGCTTCAAGTTAAGAACTATGCTTCAGGATGAGAACGTAAATCGTGCTCCGGCGGCGCGGTGGCGGCAGGAGGCCCCATTAGCTAAAGTGGTACCTCAGGTTAAGAACAGTTTCAGGTTAAGAATGGACCTCCGGAACGAATTAAGTACTTAACCCGAGGTACCACTGTACAGTGGATGCTCGGGTTCCGAATGTGATGCGTGCGGCATGCATGTTCACAACCTGCATCATTCGCAACCCGGGTCTGCATGTCTGCGCATGTGCGGGTTGCGATTCGGTGCTTCTGCGCATGTGCAAAGCGCGATTTAGCACTTCTGCGCATGTGCAACCACCGAAACCCGGAAGTAACCCGTTACGGTACTTCCTGGTTCTGGCGGTCCGCAACCCGAAAAAACGCAACCTGAAGCATTTGTAACCCAAGGTATGCCTGTATTATTACTACTACTACAACTACTACTACTTCTACTAGTAGTATCTTGCCCTGCATCTGTAGATCTTAGGGTCATTCGCAGCCTAAAAATACTAATACTGGTAGTAGAAATGATAAGAATAATATTTATACCCCGCCCATCTGGCTGAGTTGCCCCAGCCACTCTGGGCGGCTTCCAACACACGTAAAAACAAAATAAAACGTCAAACATTAAAAACTTCCTGACACAGGGCTGCCTTCAGAGATCTTCTAAAGGTTGTGTATTCCTTCCCTCCTTGACATCTGATGGGAGGGAGTTGCACAA